CCTGGCCCCGGCCGGGGGGCTGAGCTCCGGGGCCCACGGCACTGCCCGCCACAGCCACTGGGTGTCAGGCATCCGCCCCGCTCGGTGTTGGGCCACACGTGCCCGGCTATGTGACAGGCGGGGACAGCGAGACCGGCCGGAAAGGCCCGGGGCTCACCGGGAGCGTGCCTGGGGCCAGGGCACGATGGGCAGCCGCGCCCACCCGCGGCGCCCCGCTGGCCAGGGGGGTCCTGGGGGAGGACCCGGAGCACTGGAGCCCAGAGTGGGTGCTGGCTGGGGCAGGTGCAGGTCCCAAGCGGGGCAGGAGGGGCTGGCTGGCACCAGTGTCCCCACGGGTGGGCAGGGCCCGCTGCCGGGCTTGTGGAGCCCGCGGAGGGGGCCGGCGGCTGCGAGCTCGTTGCGGCCCTTCGGGAGGACACAGGCCCCCACGCCTGCGGGGGAGGGCCGTGTCCCTGGGTTTCTGGGAAGGAGGGGTGGCACGGTGCCCCCTCCCCCCCAAGCGCCATGCCAGACCTGGCTCCAGCGTGTCTGGAGCTGGAGAACACTCTAGATCAGCCTCACCCGCCCCATCCTCCCGCTGTGGAACAAGAAAACAAAGGGAAAGAAGAGCCTCCTCCGCCAGTGGGTGTGGGGTGCCGCCTCCCCAGGGCCGCGAGGCGCCGCCCAGCGGCCCCGGGACCACAGCCGGGGCCTGAACGCAGGCCACACCCCCACGTGGGGGCCACGGCCAGGCTCCCACACGGCCCAGCCTCCGCCCGTCTCCTGGGGGACCCCCATTGCCATGAGTCCGGCTGCGGTTCGGGGCGGACCTCTGTCAGGGACTCCACCCTGCTGGGGGGGCCAGTACCCCAGGCTCCTGCAGGAGCCGGCCCCACCCCCCCATGTGGGAGGGCCTGAGGACTCCCAGGAGGCGTCCCCGGGGCCTGAGGCCACTCGGTCCTGGAGGGACCCACCCCGCCAACCCCCGAGGGGGCCTGGGCTGGGGTGCTGCCCAACCCCGCCCTGCGTGAGGACAAACTGACACAGTTCTAGAAAAGCACCCTCCTGGAACCAAACAGCAGTGGGGGGCTCTAGAGGGTGGGGCCCCCGACTGGCGGCCCCCAGCACTGTCCCCCAGGCTGCCAGCCGTCCGCTGGCGGGGCTGCCCAGGTGCAGCACCTGCCAGGCCTTCTGTGTGGGCACCACACGTGGGATGGGGCGGGGTCGGGGCAGGCCCTGGCTGGCTGGCTGGCCGGGCGGGGCGCCCCCTGGGGACAGCGGGTGGCGGGAGTGGGGGGGGGTGGCTCCCCCCCCTCAGGCTGCGGGGTGGCTGGGGCTGCAGGCAGGCTGCGGGGGATCTCCCAGGCGGCCTGACCCCCATGTCCGGGGCGTGGCCAGCATGTGCGTCCCTGCCCGCCCGGCCGGCCCCGCCCTCCGTTGGCCGGCAACTTCCCGGCCCCTCAGGGAGCCGCGCACGGTCGGCCCTGCCCACTGGCGGTGGGGTCGCTGTCCGTTTCCCACCCCGCCACGCCCGGGAGCCCACCAGCAGTCTCTGGGGTGCCGGAGGTGTGCTCCCTGCCCCACCTGTGCGGGTGCCCCCGAGCCGGCGGCCGCGAGCCCTGTGGCTTCAGGGTGTGTTCTGGGTGAGGGTCCTTCCCGCTGGGCTGGCGAGCTCCAGGCTGTGGACCCCGACTTCAGACGGGCCTCTGGGGGGCGGCTGGCGTGACGGGCCGGGGCTGGCAGGCCAGGCCCCGGGTGGGTGGGGTGGGGCGGGGTTCCGTGGTCGTGGAGGCCGCCCCCAAGGCACTGCTTCATTAGAAATGGCCCCGGAGTTGACCCTCTAGTGCTGGGCGCCGCCTTCCCACCCTCCCCTCGGCTGGCCATGCTTAGACCTGCGCCCCCTCGCGCTCACCCTGCACCCTGGGCCCCGCACCCCAGGAACAGCAGGGAGCCGGGCGTGTGTAGCCGCTGCGTGGAGGCCAAGCCCGCTGGGCCTGCGGACTGTCCGGGCGCCGCCAGGGTCAGAGGAGCCAGGCCCCGCCCCGAGCAGGTGGCGGCCGCGTGCTGCTCCAGGCCTCGGCTTCCCACTGGCCCTCAGGCCACACCAGCTGCCGTTCAGACCCTCCCGGCCCCAGAGGCTCAGCCGCCCCCGAGGGCCACGACGCGACCGGGTTCGGAGACCCTGGCAGGGGACCTGCTGGGTCCCGGCCTTGCCCACACACGGGTCAGGCCCTGCCCCACGGCGAGGGGACAGGTGCTGTGTGTCCACACAAGGGGCAAGACATGTCCTGTCCCCCACTAGGAGCCTAGGGCGCTGCCAGGCTGGCCAGGCCCGTGGGCCAGCGTGGTCAGGCGAGGACACCTGTGGGGTGCCTTTGGGCACTCCGCAGGGGATGGGCCTCAACCTGGAGGTGCAGCACGGCGGGCGGCACACGTGGGTGGGGTGCAGCCAGGGGGACTTCCTGGAAGAAGCGGAGCTGGAGGCGGAGGGCCCGGAGCACGGGGCGGATCAAGAGCCAGTGTGAGGGAGACCCCAGGCGGGCCCAGGGTGGGCAGTGTGCACCTCCGGGCCACAGCCCTGGGCCCAGTGTGGTGCTGGCTGAGGGGCCTCAGACGCCATAGCGTGCCTGCCTAGTAGGGGCGC